CAGGAATGCACCACGCTGCAAAAGGCATGGGGAAGCAGGGGAGCGGTTTCTTGGGGTCTGGGTACCTTGTGAGCATGTGTCATGAGGTGCTGGGGACCCTGCCAGGCCTCACCAGCCACAGCCAAAGGACAGCCAGAAACATTCACAGTGACTGGACTTGGGAATATAACCTGGTTTTACGGGCTTCTGGCCCAAGGGGACCGAAACAGCACTGCAGGACCAGCAAGTGAAAGCAGACATGGATTTGTCCAGGGCAGATAATACCAGATTGAAGTATCAGTTATTCTACAGCTTGATTTTTATAAGTATTTGACCCCATTTCACATGACTTTCTTGTAAGTAAGTGGGGCAATGAATGAAACAACAGCATTGTGCATGCAAAGTGGGTCCACAGTCCCACTTTTGACTGCAGCATGGGCTGCATGAAAAGCATGGGCATGCAGGACTGCTGCAAAAGCGCAGGCTGCCCGTGGTTGGCATAAAAAGCTCCAGCAGAGGCTGGAGCAGTCCATGAAGAGGAAGCACGTAGGAGATTTCTGGGCTTTGTGCTGCACACTACCATGAGCAGGGGCAGTGTTTCCCTGCTTTCCAGGGCACCGTAGCCACAGCACTCTTAGCATGAGCTCAGGACCCATCTCACCCACAGCTCCTGCTCCGGACCCAGGCAGACGATGTTTGCTCGCCTTTGCTGCTTCCCTGCCCTGTTGCCGCCCTGCTTTGAATGCTGCCTGGTCTTGAGCTCTGCAGAGAATCCGTGCCAGCGCTCACTCCGCTGGCTGACACTACAGCGCTGTCTTTCTCTGCTGACCTCAGGCTCAGACCAGATGGGTCTATGGACTGGGGATGAGAACATCTCCAAGCCCCCAGCTGAGGGAGCAGGCAGATGTTTAATTCCTGCAGTATCTGAGCAATGCCCCTGCTCCTCATGAACACTCTGCTGTCAAACACCCTGAGATACATTTGCTTTCCCCGTGCAGACAGGGTGGGAAGAAGGACCACGGTAGAGGTATCGCTGCAGGAAGTATCCTTGCCTGGGCTGTCTGATGCAGGGCAGGTGTTTGTCTTTTCCACCAGCAGACATCTCTCTGTGGGAGGCAGTCCGGGCAGCCCTTCCCTTCCACATAAAATGGTGAACAGCCAGACAGTTGCTGAGATGGAGATTACAGTGTGTGTGTGCATCCTGATTTCTGCCTGAACGTCTCTGCGAGAAAGGGAAGTGATACACTAGAAGTCTTGCCAGTCCCCGTACCTTTGCTTGGGGGGATGGAGGAGGAGGAAGAGAAGGGGCTGCCAGTTTCCCCAGTGGTAGTAGCTGTTCACATGCTGCACCAAGGCACAGCACCCACTTCTGTTTGCTGCAGAGCACCTCCCTCTACACCTCCCCCGCAGAGGGGTCATCCCCATGCTGAGAGCATCCCAGCTGTCTAAAGCAGCCTCTGTCCCTGGCCGGCATGCAAAATGAGCATGTACGTTCACACACAAGCGCGCGCTCACACACACATGTCCTCCCGGCTCCCAGAAGCCTTGGCAAGGCAAAGAAGTGAGCCTTTGTCAGCTCGCAGTGCCAGCCCCTGACCCTGAGCGCCAGCTGCCGCGAGGGACGAGCAAACCCTCTCCGGCAGGACCCAGCGCCGACCGGAGGCAGTTACAGCATGGCTGCAGCCCGGCAGCTTCGGGGTTCTCAGCTCATGGGGCTGGGGGCAGCCCTGGCCCTCCTGTGCCTCTCTGCCAGGGTCAAGGCAGCCCCTGAGTTTTCGGGTGAGTCGGGGTGACGGCCAGGGAGCTCCGGGGTGCAGCCGCTGGCAGCCGGGCGATGTGGGTGGGGGGGGGCGGCCAGGCTCTCCGTCCTGGCCAGGGAGGGGACGTGGGATGTGGAGGGCAGCCTGGGACCACGCTCACTTGAGGGGAGGATGAAGTGAGGCCTGTGTTTGGTTTTGGTGGGATGGGGAACAAGTGAGGCACAATCCCGACTGTGTTGAATTCTCCAGAAAGGCTTTTTTTATCCCTGCGTCAGACCTGGGATCCAAAAGCGCCTCGTGCACATGTGTTAGGCTTTCCTAAAGTGCTGCAAGGGATCAGCTGGCCCTGCGGCTGCTCTCACTGGGAGAGTCTGAAGGCAGAAATGCCGAACAGAAGACAAATGTTAAGAAAATAGCAGAGCTTTTCTGAGACCCTCGACTGTCCCCTTTCCCTGCTGAGGTGGGTATGCCCTTAATATTGGGTGATGCATGAGACGCAGAGATGAAGCCTCCTGGAGCGCTCATGACCATGTTGTGAGCTGCGTTTTGCTGCTGTGAGGTGGAGAGGGAAGAGATGGGCTGAAGCTGTGCGTGGTCCCCAGCCAGAGCAGACTCCCGCAGTCCCTGGCCAGAGCCATTCCCTGTATCAGCAGCCTGCTGGGTGCTCTGCCCGCAGGGCAGACCAGCGGTCGAATCTGCTTCCCTTTGAGCAGTGAGTCTCACAGATGCAGCCGAGGCAGAGAGGTGGGGTCTATGCTCCCCCTGCGCAGGGGGCCGCTGGAACGGGCACGCTGGAGCTGAGTGCCGAGGGGCTGCCTTTCTTGGGCAGGCGCTAGCCCAGTCCGGCTGCCAAAGCCCACAGGATCCAGGCTGGGCTAGAAACGACCACACGCTCTTTTCTCCAGCGTAGTCCAGAAGCTGCTGGCCGCAAGACGGTTTGAAAGAAACCGTTCATCTGGGTGGAGAATGAAACCGGATGTGTGGGGGGTATTTTTGGACTTAACAGCCTGTTGAAGGCTGGCTGCTGCATTCACCTTCCACTCCACGCTGCCTTGCTCAAGAGGCGTAAAAGCATGACAAGATGTCGTTGAGCACGACAGGGAGGGCTGCAGGAGGAGAGGATATGATTTCATCTAGGCACAGTTAACTTCATAACCACGGGACCAGGGACTGAGTCACCGGAACCATGAGGCAAAAATAATCATTTGCAAAATCTGACTGCAGCCTCTTTGCTATTGTTTTCCTTAAAATAAATGTCTGTGCAAGTGCTCGCAGCCTGAAAGCGGCACTTGTGGTGGTGCTGGGTAGAAACGGTGCAATGCACCCTCGCGCAGGGCCCACAGCAGTCCTACATCAGCACCATTTGAGCTCCTCATTTAAAATAAAAACTGCCAGTCCTGCAAACTGTGGCATGGCAGCAGAGGAGGGGTGCCTTCTGCAAGGCAGGCTGTGTTTTAACAGGAAGGGGGAGATCTGTCGAGCGCACCAAACTTGCAACTAAAAACCCTAAAATCGTGTCAAAGTCTTGAGGTCAGTAGAGAAAACCCGTCCCTGGCACCTGGGGAGAGCTGTTTAGAAGTTACAGCTCAGCGTGCACACCAGGGATTTGTGTCAGATATCTTTGTGACTTTGAGTCTTTATGATAAATTTAGACAGTAGCTTTAAGCATCTCTCAGTGACAGTAAGCCAGAAATGACTTCTCCGCGGGAGCATCTTGCTACGAGCCCTGGAGGCACTGCGGGAGGGCTGCAAGGCTCAGTGGCCTTCTCCCTGTGCGACCATCAGCGCTGTGGGCACGTCCGAGTGCTGATCCCTGGTCAGCAGCCTGATCCTCTCAGGGCTTTCCAGAGGAGGAGCAAAGTTCTGGAGACCCAGATTTGCTTCTCCTCCTGCAGAGAAGTGAGTTAGGACATAGCAGAGAGATAACAGCAGCTGAGAAAGGTCTCTTCTCCTCTTTTTCATCCCTCCACCCTCTTCATCATCACTGGAATTTGGCTCTCCAGCCAAGGAGAGTCCCAGGGCTCTCTTGGCCACCGAGTGCTTTGTCATTATCTCCAGCCATCTCAGGGACAGATAGGGAGCTTTTGCTAGGCAGAAGTTGAGCCCAGGATGGCTCTGGAGCCTGCAGGAGGGCCCTGCTGCTGCAGGCTTAGGGCCACTGTGGAGGTAGCTGGGGGATGTAGCAGGAATCCAGTGGGAAGACAGCAACCCAGGCAGGGCCTCGTGCGCTGTCTCAACCCCTGAGTCCTTTAAGCTGTGGCATTGCAGGAGTATGAGACAACTGGAGGTGAGAGGCAGGATGGGCTTATCCTGTTCCCCTCTCTGTAAGCACTATGACTCGAGGGACTAGGCCAGCTATGTGCCCTCTAAGGAGCATCCTTGCTTCTCCCTCGGGCTTTGGCCCTGCTGAGACAGTTTATCCACTTGCTTCCACCCTCTTCCTCTTCTGCTTTTCTCTTTTCTCCTTTTTTTCTGGCTTGAAGATGAGCGTGCAAGGCCTTGCTCATGAAATGCTGCTGCCCTCCCGTGACAGGTGGCAGATGGTGGCTTTCTCACCTGGTGAATGCAAAGAGAAAAGGGTAGAGAAATATCAGCCGCTGGTTGTGTGTGAGGGAAAAATTAAACCTTGGGCAGGGGCAACTCCCAGCTGCATGCCCTGGCTAGCTGTCAGGGATGGTGGCAGCTCCTCAGAGCAGCCCTGGCTCCTGATGTTGAAGGGCTAGTGTCAGCAGTGGTGCTGCAGGAAGGTGAAAAGGGCCCTTTGTGTGGCCGAGCCTGGCACTAGGGTTTCTGGACGGATACAGGGAGAAGCGCAATGCTGTGAACCGGCACCCAGAGTGCAGGAGCATCGCTTGGGGGCTGCTCCCTCCCCAGACAGCCCAGCTTGGCATGTACGCCACTCCAGCTTTGCCAGGCAGCAGTCACTGTACTGAGACCGATCGTGAACCTGCAGCCTTGGGGACAGCTGAGACTGATGTCACCCTTTCCCTCATTGCCCCCAGTTTGCCTTCCAAACAATCTCCTGCAGAATCTTGCTATTCAGAGGCTGCAGAAAGTGAAAAGCATGATACAGGCAAACTATGTGAGTCCTTGCGCACTTAGTGATACCACCACCTTCATTTATCGATATTTCTTTTTCACGTGCCTGCTGCTGCCGCAGGACGTGTGGGCTGATGTTCCGATGCCATAGCAATGCTTTGGCCTTGCAAGCAGATTCAGGCTGGTCTCTGGCTGCAGACCCTGCAGCATCAGGGATACCTGGTCCAGCACTGAGGCAGGTCAGGGGGGCTTTTGCTAGGAGCGAACATGAAGCAGGGTGGCTGCTCCAGGGGCAGGACCCTCTCTTTCTGTCTAATAGTATGAGGGGCAGGATGACTCCAGGCTGAGGCATGCAGAGAAAGGGGAACTGCAAAGGGGCTCACTGTGCAGGGGCCATGGGTGGTTGGGTGATGCCTTGCTGCTGACTGTGCACCCTGCATGACCTCAAATCTGGGCTGGGAGATGGGGTGCATGTTCTGCCCCAGACCCCACAGCTGGGCTAGGCAACAGGGTGCATTTCCCACCAAGGACCCCAGAGTTAGGTTGAGGGATGGGGTGCATGTCCTGCACCAGACCGCACAGTTGGGCTGTTCGATAGGGTGTGTGTGCCTCCAAGGACCCCACAGCTGGGGAGTGGGGTGGGATCCTGCCTAGGAGATAATGTGTTACCCTCTCCTCACCTCAGAGCTTCAAAGTGGTACTTCCTAGATTTTAGGCCAATGTCTGCTGCAAACTGCTCTGCCCAAAGCCCTGTGCATCATTTTATGTCAGTTTTTTTGTGGTTTCTCAGCCTCTTCCAGCAAACAGAGTATACTCAGAGCATCCTTGGCAGTTCTCAGAGTTATTATGGAACTAGTTTCCTCTTTCACTCAGCACCCAAAACATACAATATCAATCAAGCCTGATATCTCCGTGTTAAACCCTGTTAAATGTCACCTAGGTCGGGCATGGCAGGCCCACCTTACTGTCTCTTTTAGGGAAAACAAGCTAATTATTTTTGAACACAAACTATGCAGGATTAAAAGAGAGAAATACTCCTGCACTGAGAATTAGGGGAGAGAAATACTGGTACCAATGCAAAAGGATTAATTGAAAATGTATTGTTCAGTGACCATGATGCTAGCTTATATGTAACATGAGATGAAACTGCAGTTGGTTATTTTATGTGTGCTGGGGACTTGGCCCAGGAATGGGTCAAGGCATGAGCTAAGATGCATGAGCTCATGATGCTAAGATGCTTCTTCAGTTTAGAGCAGAAGGCTCAGCGTGGTCATTCAGCTACAAGCTCCTGCAGTGTGCTGAGCCTTGTCGCTGGGCTATGCACGACATCAGCCAACCTTGGTGACATGGGTTGGGACTGGCTTACACTGACGCACTGAGTTTCTCAGTCAGAGGAATCCAGAATCTGGGTTTAAATGGGCTCAGCTGATGATTGGCAACTTGTTGAGTCACATCAATATAGCCACTTGCTGTCCCCACCCTAAATTCTCCTTCCAAGTAGTGCTCACTGGCCTTGAACTCCATTAGCCACCCCGAGCTCTGCCTCACAGCAGCAGCTGCTGATCTCAGGAGGGCTGATTCCTGCCCTTCTTGCCCTGCTTCTCCCCAGGTTTCCTGTACAGTGGAGTGGTTTTAGCACTGCAGAATGATTTGGACTCGAGTGGTTTCTAGTCCATCCCTGCTCTCTCTTCCACATGTCTCTATAACAAGATTATGACTTTCTTGAAACCCTTTATAACTGCACATGTGATTCTTTCACATGTGGTTTTCTGAGCTGTCTTCCTACCTGTCCTCCAACTTTTGCTTCTGTGTACTACCTGGCTCAGCTGGTCTGTACTGCTTTCCAGCTGTCTGGCAGAAAAGCTGGATGTAGCCCTTGCTACAAGCCCCCTTTCTCTCCCGCAACCATGTCCTGCTTGTGTTTGTCCGGTAAGTGCCTCTGTCCAGGACACCATCCCTTGCCATCAGCTGCTGAGAACTTAGACACTGCCGTCACTGTGGTCCTGAGTATCTCCTTCCTGCCAACCTTCCCTGTGTTGTCCCCTGCCAGGCTACCTGCGCAAGGTGCTGAAGAACCACACGATCCACACCTGTGATGGGGAGCAACTGATCATCATGTGCCCTCACAAGACCACTGTCAGCATCCTTGGCGCATTCTATGGGCGTCGCGTGCCCAGCCCGCATCTCTGCCCTAACCCTGGTAATGTTTCTGAGGAGAGCACTGAATGCATGTCTGCCACAGCCCACCAGGTAAGGACAACACTTCTAGGATGTGCAGCCTTATGGGATGGTGCTGCACATCTCCACAGGTCATGGGACTCCCAGTTTGGGCCACGTGGCTGCAAACACCACAGCCTCCCCTCTCTCCTAGGGGCATTAGCCCCATTGGTGTCAGAACCAAACCCTGAGATTCCCGGCAATGTCCTTTTGCCAGAAAGCTTCTGGGATACAAGGATGGACAAGACCTTCTGTGGTGGGTTCCTGTGAGATAACTCTGGGAGAGACACTGCTGCATCCTGAGCTGAATTTTGGAGAAATTCTACAGGACAAAGTGGGCTCTGAGAAACACCTGGTAGCTGGAATTCAACCTAGAGCAAGAAGTGGTGCAGGGGTTGGGGTCCGAGGCTTAGGAGGTGTGACTGGGCTTAGAGCATTGCTCAGCTGGGACATTGTGCCTCGGTCCTGTTTGCGCATCCACTATGGTTAGCACAGACCCTGGGGATCGAATCTGACCTTGGTGCAATGCTGATGTGGTGGAGCAGGGTGCTGTGTCTCATTCACTCCACAAGTGCTTTGAAATGAGCTTTGGCTGTCTGGGAGCTAGGAACCAGGGAAAATTTAATAGGGTGCCTGGGTAGGAGGGTGGGGGCTGACAATGCTTCTGTGACCTGTGATCTGCAGAGGAGATGGTGGCCCTCAGCACCTCCGTGTGGATGGTGACATCGTTCTGAGCAGTGGAGTGCTCCCTGCCTCCAGCACAGAGAACTCCAGATGCACAGAGGACTCGGGGGATACTGCTCTCTGCATCAGGCTCTCAACTCCTGAGCAAGAAAGGCCATGTTTCAGCCATGGGAAAAGTCTCCTCAGTCCCTGTCAGGTGTCCCTGCCTCATGGCAGGCTGCTCATCACTTCCATCCTCTCAAGCCGGCTTGAGTACTAGTGACTGTCATCTCAGGGCTATGGACCCACAAGGATTGCAGGAGGCTGGCAGTTTTTGGCCAGGTTCCTTTCAGCTTGGCTGAATGGGGACAGCTGGGCTCTATGCTTGAAGCAAGTGCTGTGAACGGTGCTGGACATGCAGAGAACTGCAGAGTGGCAGACTTTCCCAGGAAGGGGAAAGTCAACCTGACAGGGAGGGCATCCCCCTTGCCCTCCCAGCCACATAGTCCTGCACTAGCCCTTCCACTCATCACATCCTGCCCTGAATTCCTTCATGCCACTAATCTGGCAGGAAGCAACTTGCTTACTTTTGCTGAGTCCATCTCCCAAGAAGTAAATTAGTTGGGCTGGCCCACAGGAGGTGTTTGTGTTTTTGTAGTTTTTCATGATCAGGGACAGTGTTCAGGGATTAATTACATAAGGACTGAGTGAAAAGGACAAGAGGGACTTCCATCAGCATCCAGAGAGAAGTACTCAGATACGTGGCCATCCTCCCATGGCAAGGGTGGCAGTGTCCAGCAACTGCTGCCAGCTCCAGACACTTGCTGGCTCATTGAAGGCCTGCTGGGCTAAACCACCAGGAAGGGCAAAGACCAGCTTGAGCCAAGCTAGTCTTTTGGGAGACATGAGGGGTGGAAAAGAAGCCAGACATGTATGGTCGCAGATATCAAATGGCTTTTGGCTCATTCTGAGGGAACCAAGGAGTGGGTCCAGGCACAGACCTGCCCTCAAAAACAAGGAGGAATCAAGCCCAACTGCAACACACAGCATCGCACCTTTAAGCCTGCCCGTTTTTCCCTGCTGGCTCCAGGGCTCTAATGAACTCATGGCAGCTGGGAGACTGGGTGGGAGCCAGGGAGAGATGCCAGGCCTGGACAGGCGGGTTCCTTGGAGACAGGGTATGGGGTTCAGGGCTGAGTTTCCTGTGCTATTTTTCTATTCCTGTTCCAGCTAGGGCTTGGGTTTACCAAGTAAAAAGAGATGTGCATGGCTCACTGTGGTGAGAAGAGAGCATGAAGTCGGAGAGGAGGAACAAGAGCTCAGAGAGCTAATTCCTTGTTTTGTTAGCTCACAAGGTCTTTCTGCCTGGTCCTGCTCCAGCCACAGATCTCCTCACGGCTTCTCACATGTCTCCAGGAACTCTGCAAGGACAGAGCCAGAACTTCTGTGTTAGCCTGGCATAAACCTGGCCCTAGAGGTCCCATAAACCACAGTGCAAACTCTTTGGTTCAGGGTACTCAGAGCTTGTGCGTAAAGTGGGTTGATAGGCTGGAGGACATGGTCAGGCATATACATCTGGAGGCTGAAAGGACAGGTTTGTGAACGGCTGCAGTCAGGATCTGTGTGGACTGTATAGTATAGGAATCCTCTCCATCCATGATGTTTCCCAGTGGAAACACAGCAAGGTCCCATGTGAGTGCTCCTCATCCACTTCAATGCAAAGTCACATTGCTCTAGCCACTATGTTGGTGGCAATTGCTGCCTTGTGGCTGAGGTGAGTGCTGGTGCTGAGAGTGGTTCTCTCCCACTCCCGCCCAGTGCAAAGCTACACAGCCCGTCACTCCATCAGTGACTGAAAGGAAGAAGCTGGACTTGACACTGGAAGAGAGCAGAGAAGAATTGCTCCTTCTTTGTCTGAGAAGCAAGAACTAGCAGGTGAGATGAGATACTCTTGCTATGGAGAGCTGCACTTACCTCTTCCGTTCTACCCTCTTCCACCCCACTGTGGTTCAAGCTCAATGGCTCAGCTTTTCCGGGACATGGAGTGGAAGAGGACCACTCACCAAGATGGCCAGTGATCTCATCAGAGCAGCAGCATCCAGGCTGGGTTTGCTACTGTTGCATCTCAGCTGCAACTGGTCCCCGTGCACCCTCCTCTCTTTCCTTCCAGTGCAAAGTGCAACTGGCAAGTTTGTTCCCTGCCTGAGAGAAGGGGCTGTGCTCTGTCTTTGGACAGATATTCAGAATCTGAAGGCTCATCCCATTACTGTAAAACAAAGCATGTTCCTTCATCTGCAATGATTATGAGGGCTGGGAGACTGGTTGCTCCCAGCTTTGTATTCTGGCTCCCAAATGGGTTGGCCCAATGGAGAGAGGGTCATTACAGCAAGGCTAAACGTCCTGTCCCTCACAGCAGCATGACAGACACAAGGAACAGCAGGGAAATCACACACTGGGTGAAACATGGGGCACAAACCAATCTCCCTTCATGCCATGGGGTGAATACAAACATACAGCCATGGGGAAGGATGCCCAGAGGCAGATCTTTTACAGAAGAAGGAAGTCTGGAGAGCAGAGATTAAAGGTGTTTTTGAGGCTCAGCTTAGCTCTGTTCAGAGAAGACCTGGGGGACTGAAGTTGATTGCATTTCCTCCTCAGATTTCACTTCTGCCAGCAGTGTCTGGCCGTCGTTAAAGACCAAGGAGAGATTCACCCGCTCACCCCAGCCTAAAGCTATACACCAAATGTGGCAGAGAGGAAGGAGATGGGACCGAAAAAGCAGAGAGAAAAAGCCACAGGGTTTTGGGACTATCTATCTCAGGTGTTGGGACCCTTGAGGCCCAAGACAGAGGGTGATTTGTCAAAGGAGCATGGGTAGGGAATGCCTCTAGGCCTCACCCTTCCCCTTGCTGTGAGAAGGCTGATGCTGAGCCTGTAGGTTCACTGCTGCTGGGGCTGACAGCATGCCTAGGATCTGGGGAGATGCTTGGTGTTGGCAGCAGAAGCCGTGGGCCCAAAGGCAGCCCAAGCCTGTAAGCTTTCCCAGGAAGGCATATTTGAACTGGTACCAAGTGAGAGTCCACTCACTGTGCATCTCAGCCTGTGGCAGCATGGCCAGCATGGCTGGATGTCATGCTGTTTTAGCTGCCTTGCTTTCGGGCATTGCCTTCTGGCCCCAGTACGCGGGGCAGCTGTGAGCCAGCCAGGCAGAGCTGGGCTGCCAGCAGCTAGGCACCTCATGGCACCGCAGGCCACCTTAGCCTGCCAGACCAGCTGGGTCTGCCTTCAGACAGAGGCAGGGTGCAGGTTGCAGTGTGAAACCTCTTCCCCATCTTGTGGCCTGGTACAGGCATTGCATGGGGTCGTGCTAGTGTGCATGTCTTCACGGGTGTTGCACAGAGCCGTGCTAGTGTGAATGTCTGCACAAACACTGCACGGAGCTGTACTAGCGTGCGTGTCTGCGTGTGTGTTGCACGGAGCAGTACTAGTGTGATCGCACAGGCATTGCAAGGTGCTGTGCTAGTGCATGGCTCAGAACCGTGCTAGCATACATATCTTTACGGGCATAGGGGAGGAATTAATCTAGGCACCCACTCGGTTAAAGCTGCTACATGAACCAGGGGTACCCACGGAGTGAGCAGACAAAGGGGTGTGAGCAGTCATAGGGCACCTTTGTGGGGGTGAGAGGCCATTTCTCCAAGCCCAGTGATGCCACCAAGGGACAGTAGGTGAGAACAGCTTCAGGACTCCTCACGCATCTTCATAGCTATCTCATTTGCTTCTCCAGAAACTGCTCGACGAGTGCCAGGACCAACGATGGTGCCAGTTCTCAGTTCACAGCCAAGTCTTTGGGCCAGACCCGTGTCCTGGGACACACAAGTACCTTGTTGCTTCTTACAAGTGCCGGCCAGGTGAGGCGGAGTGGGGTTTGAGCACTGGCGTAGCTCTTTCCCAGAGACTGAGGTACCAGTGAGGCAAAGCTGAAGCCAGCTGATCCCTCTGGCCTCAGCTCCTCTGTTGAGCAGAAATGAGGGGAAAGCTAAGCTGCTGCTGTATCTGGCAGTCCTGGTCCAGCCGTGGTCTAAGCTCTGTGCTAGGTGCTGTACAGTCCTGGAGGAAAGTAATGAAGAGCAGGAACAATGCAGCTTTGGGGCCTTTTGGCTGTGGGACAAACTCAAAGCAGGCAGGGCAGTGCAGCAGGGCATGTTCTGTGCAGCAGTGCCGCTACCTCCTGGAAGAGAAGATGGTAATAGAAGTCTATGCTGTTTTATACAGCATAGACTTGTGATTGCGAGCAATTGCGCTGCCGCAGTCCTGCTTATCTGCTCTGCTGCAGGAACTGCCCACCTGGGCCCAGCGTGCCCCTGGGGCTGGCACAGGCCCTCTTCGCAGCACCTTGTGTGCACCGACTCTCACCCAGCAGGCTGGTGGGGTCAGAGACCGCTCTGCCAGGGGCTCAGCTGGGGAGTGGGGGATCATAGCCACTCAGCCATACCCTTACAGCTTGATTTCTACCCATGACAGATCTCAAAAACTCAGCTGGGCTGCAGGGCTGAACTAGGGGAGGGCAGGGGGCTCAGGATGATTTAAGCCACACTGGGACACTGTGATGTTGTGATTTAAGCCACACTGGGACTCTCTGGTGTTGTTTCCCAGCTAACCATCGCATCAAGACTGTGTGTGAGAATGACAAACTAAGGCTGCAGTGCCGGCCAAAATCCATCCTGGCCATTTACTCTGCAAGTTATGGACGATTCCTGCGGGGCAAGCCAGAGTGTGATGCTCTGAACACTGAGCAACCTCATATAGGTACGTTTGGATGACGTGAGCCAGAAGCGTGGCCAGAACCTGTGCACAGAGAGGGTCATAAGTATATAGTCACACTGTGCAGGGAAATAGCCCTGTTACACAGGCACTGGGATGCAGCTCTGTGAATACAGCAGCTCTAGCTATGCCATCTGCTAAGACCAAGCCCCCAAGAGCACGCTTGATGACTTGTCACATGCGAACATGTGTGGCCTACAGCATGCTCAGAGCTCAAGAGCGTGAGAGTCGCCGCATGCCTGAACTCACGCGCAGCCTTCATGCTTTACTTCGCTGGCAGCATTTGGGGCAGGCATGGGGCAGAGCATCTCCCATATGGCAGAAATTTGGGTAGCAGGATATGCTGGTGGGACCTGCACCCTTCGCCCCCACCTGGCCTGTGCCTGGCAGGCAGGGGGAGGCAGGGACTGCCCACTGGGTCCAGGCCCCATCCATAGGGACCATGGCATTGCTCCAGCTCCACCAAGCCGTGCTGCCTGCTGCCAGTGGGGGCAGAGCTGACTCCCACCCGCCCTGTGTGTTCCCAGAGTGTTTGGCTCCCGACGCCTTGAGGAGGGTTTCCAGGAAGTGCCACCGGAAAGAGAACTGCACTGTGACTGCTGACAGGGCCACCTTTGGGGACCCGTGCTTCCCTGGCATGAAGAAACAGCTGCGGGTCTCCTACACATGTGGTGAGATCCACGCGAGGGGCTCAAGAGCTGTCTACGGGGCTGGGAAGGTGGGGGACCCACTTACTGACCCTGCTCTGTGGGCAGTGCTGTGCCCCCGCACTGTACAGGCAAAGGTGCAAGGCTCCTCAGGGACACACAGGCAGGGGGAAGTTGAGGTGGGCTATTTGGGGGTTGCTTGGGGTGGTGTCCTTTGGGGTGGCCCTGCCTGTCCCCTGCCTGCCACGGCTCCCCTGCTCTCCCCAGGGCCAGCCTCTCGAAGCGATGTGCGCTCTCATTGCAGTGCCCAGGCAGCTGCTGGAGGAGGTGGGCCCTGACACCTCGGACCCCTTCCTGCTCTCGGACTACACACACGGTAACGACCAGGAGCTTCTGCACATCTGGGTCACACGGCAAGTGGTGTGGCATCGCACCCTTGCCCAGATGAACTACACTCAGCAACTCCATGGCTTGTCCACGTCTGTGGGATCTGGGGCGCTGCTCCAAGCTTGGGGCCCCTCTCTGCCAGCATGGGTGCAGCGCTGTTCCCATGGCGGCTCATTCAGTCTTTGTATCTTTCACCCTGCTCCATGGGTGCTCTTAGCCCTGCACTGCTCCCATGCCCTTGCCAGCAGGGACTCATTTAGGCAATGATTGTCCCCTGGGCTTGACATCCTCTCCCTCAAGGGAGTCTGGAAAACCTACCTGACTCTTATCCAGGGGAAGCTGCCTCATATGCACTAAAACCCTTGGGTGAGGGAGCATCTACACACACTGCAGGGCAGCACAGACACATTGGGCTAGCGTGAGATGAGCCAATGCCAGTCCAGCATTACAAAAACCTGCCCACAAGCCGTGCCTGAAACCACTCACAGTTCCTCGTCTGAGCAAAAGGAGCTCTGGAGGAGCTGGAGAGATGGGGTCTGCTTGGGGAGGAGAGGGGAGGGAAAGGGATGGAGTGTCCCGCAGAGGAGCATTGCAACAGGCAAAGGAGAGCGTATGTGGGAAGGAAGGAGGACCCAGGAAGGAGGCAGGCAGAGGCAGGCAGCTCGGCAGTGGGGAAGGGTCATTGGGGAGCGCCTTGTGTCTCAGTCCTTAAGACCATGTCCCCTTGTTTGCTGCAGGTGGCTGGTACAAAGGGCCCAGGTTCTCCAGGCTCCGGAAAGACCTGATGATTTTTACTAGCTCTCTGGAAGCTTTTGCCCACCTTTGGGGTACGTGCCCCTTGCTCTCACACACTATCCTGAGGAGTGGGATGGACATGGAGAGGGGAGAACCAGGGGCTTGGGAGGGTGTCTCAGGTCCTGTGTCAACCCTTGTTCAGCCCGAGGGTCACCACTGTGGGCTTGCAAGATCAGATCCCAAACCCAAGCAGCCAAACCCCCTCCAGAAGGACTGTGTCAGCTGTCTTATCCTGGCTGGTCCCGGGTCAGCAGGCATATGAGGGAGCGGAGCACTGAATGCCCATGCTGTTTTGACATGGCCACATCAGGGAGGGAGTGAGAGATGGAGCAATGTGATAGAGGCTCAAAGATTGAATGACCCGTGAGATTGCACAGTATCTGTGGTCTTAGTGCTGCTGCAGTCCTGCCCCTCATGCAAGAGACCAAGAAAGATCCTTTTTTTTCCTATGAGTTGAGTTACCTGCTGGGTTTCATTCCTTCATGACCCTTCTGAATCAGTTTCCATGCAAAAGAAGGGCAGTGCCTCTCTGAGGGCAAGGTAGCCCCTCAACATGGGAAATTATCTGTATAAATTCCTGGAGTTATGACTCCATCTGTTGCACTACCTGCCCTGCATCTCACTGGGAGATGGCCTCTTTCCACTGCACCATAAACAGTGGTCCTTGTGCCTCTTCTCCCACAGGGACCAGAGGTCTCCCGCAGGGGCTCTTGGTGATATTTCCACAGTCACTGGAGCAGCAGGTCCATCTTGGCCCCAGCCCTGCAGCCTGGTGTGTTGAGGGCATCTCTGCTGTCTTCCTCCCTGTCCCTTCCTCTTGCACATCTGGCAGAGGGAGTTTCTGGAGGCCCTGGTGTGCTGCAGGCTCCAGGGTAGCTTATACCCTCATGCCTGTGTTTGCCTTTCTCCCCCCAGGCATCCCAGAGAAAGTTGGCCTCTACTTTCTTTGTGGGGTCTCAGGAGGCCTCATGCTTCTGCTCTGCATCATCAGCCCTAAAATGGCCTTCATCCAGGACATGAAGGAGGCTTTCAAAGACCCAGAGCTGGGGAGAAGCTCAGAGCTGAGTAGAACCAAGCTGCAGGATGAACAGGATGAAGATATTCCTGATGACAGTTCCTCAGACTCCTCCTTCCGCCGCCTCACCCGCACCTACCGGGCAACCGACAACATCTTCAGCCCTGAACTGACAGCAGCAATGGAGGGGGTGGCAGAGCACCAGGGCCACGATGGGGAAGAGATCTGGATGCCCAAGGAATCCAGCCCTTATGCCATCCACAAGATCAAATCAGCTACCAAATGAGAACTGAAAGAACAGGGCTGTAGAGCAATGAGGCCAGGGGGAGGGGGGAGTGGGGGCAAAGCGGGATGAGATATCCGGATGCCCTGCAAGGAAAGACTCCTCAGCTCTTCACTGAGAGACATGATGGTTTGAGCTCCTCAGAGCTGGATGGAGCCAGGATCAGCCATCCTGGTCCAGCACTAGGGAGAAATCCCAAACCATGGCAGAGGGCACTGCAGCCCTGGTGCAGCCCTACAGCTGGGAGGGATTTCCTGGGAAGGCTGTTCCAGGATCAGCCCACTGCTCCAAGCGGCATGGAAACCTCTGAGCTGATCACTCTGTGGGAAAATGTGATCCCAGGGTGTAATAAGGGGCTAAGGGATTGTTTGTGGCGCCATTGGCTCCTTTGCTGTGAACACATCGCTAATCTTAATTTAACCTTCCAATTCTTGCCATGTTCACTGCTTGCTCAGGCTTGCTGGCCCTCAGCACTTAACCCCTCTCAGTCCAGCAAAGTCTGGGAAGCCCTGGTGCTTTTCAGGCTCTATTTCCTCCTGTTTCTTTTCATGTGCTGGTTCCCTCCCACAATGCTGTGAATGTCCCCAAAGGCTTGGAGAGTATGCCAGTGGTTGGAGAAGACAGCTTTTGACATAGATAAGGAAATTGCAAAAGTGTGGGGAGGATGAACATTGAACTTGGAAAGACTGTCTTGCTGGGAGTGTGAAAGGGGCCACAAGCATCAACCAGCACATCCACACACCAGCAGTGGGTGCTGGCAGGTGCCTTGTACAAGCATAGTTGCTGGTGTTTCCCTTGGCCCTAGTCTCCCTGATGAGTGCTGCACCCTTGGGAGCTGTGGTAGCAGAAATGGCTGCTGTGAGGTGAGGGAGGAAAAGTCCTGTTAGCATGCTGTCTCTCAGGAGGGATTTGCTCAAATCTTCTTGTGAGCATCAGGAAATTCTTTCACTTCACGTCTTTCTGTGATTTCCTTCTTGCTTCTTTCATTCTGTGCTGGCTGCAGAGCTTCGGTTTCCAGGTAACAGGCTAACTTGCTGGGGCCTTTTCCAGCAAATAAATGCAAAGCTCTGAGTCACAAAATGAAGCCACTGAATTTGAGCTCCCACCAGTCCCAATTGCTTGGCTCCAGGCAAAAGCCCATGAGGGCTCCTTGCACTGCAAAAAGCTCCTGCCTTGAGCTGGAAGCTTCCAACTTCTTATTAATAGCTGGAGGAACTGGGGTGACATCTTCTCCTCTGTCTTCTCATGACCGGGTCCAGATTCCCTCTCAGCCCTTCCCAAAGCTGTCCTGGAGATTTTATCACAGTGCGATCCTTTTTATTCAGTTTATAGACCAACACCACTCGTCTATGCTGTATATTCACCAGAGCTGCCAGAGGAGGGAGCCGATGAGGAAGAGGTGAGAAGGACGCTGAAAACAGAGACTAAAGCAGAAAATGATAGTTGCATCCAGGGTGGGAAAGAGGTGAGGGGAGAGATGACAGACAGGCAGGCCGGCAGCTCAACCCCCTCCAAGCAACGTGTACCCATCTCCCTACCTTCCCATGCTGTTCACTTTGCAGGGCTCAGTTCTTGCTCCTCCTAAGTCAACAGAATGGCCCCATCTTTACTCCACTCCTGGACGGTCCAGTGTGATTTCAGGCACGGGTATCCATAGTGCTGTCCATAGCCCTCGTCTGCAGTGCCAGGTTTCTTCACGTCAGTTTGGTTTCCCGTGAGTTCAGTTTTTCCCTGAGTCAGCTCTGAAGGAGTGTCAGTACAGCAGTGACTCGGGGCCTGGAAAGCCAACTTCCACACGCTACGTGTGGGCGAGACGGGCAGATGCAGACCCGTCCTAAAGCTCACCTAAGCCCCTGCAGAGCTGGAAGAGGGCAGGGGGATTTTTGACTGGGGGTCTTACCTCATAGGCTGATATACTGCATTTCCATCAGCTGGGATTCATCCCAGCTCTGCCTAGGAAGCATGTGTCTTACGTTTTTGGCTGGGGTGTGCACTCCCCTGTCATGTGTGGAGCAAGACAGATGCCTACATCCTGTGAGGAGCTGATCCAAATGAGCAGAGAGCAATCTTCAGAAAGCTCCCAGGTCACAGATGGCAGCAGTCGCACCAGTGAGCTGGGGCTGGAAAGGGCAAATGGCCAAGGATCAAAGCAGTGCAGGTTGGAGCCACAGCAGCCCTGGCCAGGTTCGGGGATTCAAGGTATTCAGAATGGGTGGGAGCCACCTTCAAACACCTCCTAGCCTGGTAGCATCCCTTGGCCATGCCACAACCCAGGAAAGCAAAGCCATTCTACTGCTTCTGGCTGCAAATATCCCTAGGTCCTCTTTCTGCCAGATAGACCTTGCAGAAGCCACTGAGGGACCTCAACATACATGACCCAAGTCACTCTGCTTGTTAGCAAGGAGAAAGGACTGATCCTGCCCACATGCCTTATGGTCAGCAGGGTTAAGTTCCCTTGGAAGCTGCAGCACCTGTGGATCTCCCAGCACTGCCTGGATGTTTCCTTAGCAAGATCTTCATTGTCTTTGTAATGGAAGGGCCACATGTGGACCTTGGCATACCAGTTCCTTCATTATTTGCCATTTTCAGGTTGCAAAACCTCAGCCCAAGGTGAGAGCCAGCCTTAGGGTTCACTGAGGAAAGCTGAGCTGGTCACACGTTCTCAGGATACGGAGCACGTTTTCTGGCTGCCCATGCTCCTGAGTCCTGGAGCTGCTGAACACAGAGCTCCCGTGTTCGCAGCTAGTGGCAGATTTTTTCCCAGCTGTGCTGCAAAAAGTGTCCTTACACCACAGAAGGGCTGTTTGTGGGAATCTCCAAGTAATGTGTGCATTACTACAAGCAAGCTACAGAGCGTTATTCTGCAAGGGTGCATGTTTGCTTTCCAGCCCTAATATCAAGGGTTTTTGTGTTGATCAGGAATCCTTTGCCGAACATAGAGGGGAGTCTGTAGCACGGTGGCAGTATGAGGGCATTTGCTTGCATCTGCCAGCAAGAGTAGGGCTAAGGGTATGTTTTCCAGGCCGCCTGGTGGAAAGCATGTGTATGTGTTTCCCAGGGCATGGCCACTCTCAAGGCATACATGTGATGAGATCAGGTGTGTTGGTTTTGATCCTGGGGAACCAGTGGGCAATGAGGGTTTGTAGCCGGGTTTTGGAAGGCCATGCTATATGCCGTTGGTTGTTTTTCAGATCCTGCTGTGCAAAGTGGGTGTTTACCAGATACAGTTTGTGGGCATATTTTACACACCGTGCTGACCTGGGGGGTCTTGGTGACTGTCCGGGATGGACTGCTTTATGGCCAGGGGATTCCTCTCTGGGCCCTTAGCATCCCCAAGCTGCCTGCCATGCAGGCTTGCATCCAGTTGGTGGATGTCTATGAGGACTGGAGGATGCATGACACTGCCAGGGTGTCTCTGCTCCCCCTGCAGCAGCTCAGTCTCCAGATGCCCTTGCTGGAAGCTGCCTTGTGACTGGCACGCTGTGGCCCAGGACTGCCTTGCCAGGCCAGCCCTTTGGGGCTGCCCTCACAGGAGGGCCAACACGTACCTCACAGGGTGGTACGTGTTGGCCCTCCACCCCATTTTCATAGGAATGAGGATCAGTTCAGAGCATCCCAACACACATCTGAGACCCTTTTGCTTCCAGTCTTATCCTTACAGGCAGCAGGGTCTGGAGCCCTCCATGCAGCAAGCTGGAAATGTGGCCTTGGCTTGCAAACATGGCTGATACATGAGCCATTTCTGTACAAGCTCTGTTAACACTGGGGCCCCAAAGTTAGGGCTTTGAGATCATCAAAGGATGCTGAGTTGTAGCTGCAAGACAGTCCTGGCAGCTGAAATGAGCTGTTTTCAAGGTGAGCCCTGGGTGCTGTGTTGGTAGGAGCTTTGGCATGCTGGAAGGGAAACTGAGACAGAGCCAGGCTGGTGCTCAGTAACAGTGAGAGACAACTATTTTGCAGTGCTAATTCCTGCTGTGAGAGCCAGCGAGGACTCCCTTTGCATGCTCCCATCAATTCTCCCACGCTGCCACCTCCCCTGACTCTGTCCCATATTGCTGCTGGTGGCCATGCTCAGAGGATTCCAGGACTTTGCTGTGAGCAGGGAGGCCCTGACCCTAGCAGGTCATGGCCTGGAAAAATCCTTCTCTGCCTGCAGAAGCAGTCGAGACCATGACACCCATGCATCAGTGAGCATGAGCATGAAGGCACACGGCTAGGGACTGTCCAAGAAGAGCCACTCTGCACAAGCAGGGCAGCTCCATGCCTTTCAGGGCAGGACAAGGTGTGACAGGAGCACCTGCCACGGTGCCCGAGTTGTGGAAGCTGCCTGCTCTGTGCCCAGCTGGCTCACAACTGACTGTGAGACAGGAGGATGACTGCTGCATGGAAGAGCCCAGCTCCACCCCTTCAAGGAAATCAAATACTTAGCCCAGAGTCGTGTTCCCATCCTCCCCGGCAGAGTGCCCGTTCCAGCTGCAAGGTGCTCCTTGCTGCCCAGGTGCCAAGAGTGGCCCCAATGCATGGTCTCCAACAGTCAGAGCCCTGCAGCTCCCACAGCTCCAGAAACTGAGGGTGTGCAGCAGTGCCTGCTCAGGGCACTGGTGCCTGGATGTTGGTGTGGGCAGTGCATTGAAGTTTCTGAGCCACATGTGTTGGAACAAGGCTGCACAGGAGTGACAATGGTGAAGCTCATCTCAGGATGGCTCTCCTGGTGTCCTGCACGCAGAGAGGGGCACAACACTAGCACCATTACACTGGGCAGGCTCCAGGCATGGTCAAACACAGGCACACAGGCCCTTGACACGGAGGTGCTGGCTGGACATCTGGGTTCCAGTTCATGCTCTGGCACAACCTTGCTGTAGGACCTTGGTCACATCACTTTCCCCTCCCTTGATTTCTCCATCAAAGGTGGGGGAATAACTCATTTGCTGGACTCTAGTATATTGGTTAGGGAGCAGTCGCAGGGCTGGGAGCATCAGCACATCAGCCGGGGCTGTGGCTGTGTGCTTCCTTCTCCCTGACTTTTCTGCCTGTGCTCTGGGGCAGCCACATCTCTACGTTGTATCTTGCTATTTACTCAGCAAAGTCAGCAAACACATGTAGCAACATCTCCTCAGTTCCAGTGAGCCCCCTCCCCAGGGGTCAGCACTGAGGTGCCCGCAGCGCACCTGGGGCTACGGTGCCTGCTGGTCCACGAGCTGCCTGCTGCCCAGTTTGGGCAAGCAGGTGCCAGGATGCGAAGCCTTGCCCCTTCCCTGAGCAGCACTGAGAGGGCGACCCCTGACTCCTGCAGTCCTTAATTCCTCCTCATGCCAGAGCTTCCTCACTTCAGTGAGATCCCAAATGCTGCTGACGGGGGTCAAAACCGCAGATGGATCTACCAAGGTACCACCAGCTGGCACAAAGCTGTGTCTGCAAAGTGAGAGAGCTGTCTGAATGAGGCCTCGTTCAACCCAGAAAGGAACACAAAGAAGAAAAAGAAAACATTTCTCCTCATTTTCTTAACAGTCATTAGCTATATCCTAGCCTGTCTCCTGTCCCCAGGATCTCCCAGTGGCATCCTGTGTTGCAGGCAGCAGGATGGGGCTGTGCCGCAGCACCAGATGCCAGCTTGTTCATCTGCTTCAGTTCGTTCGCTCTGTAAACATCCCTGAAAAGCCAGGGCCCCGCACTGTGGCGGTTAAGAGGCATGGTCCTAGGACCCAGGTTGGCACAGGGGTCTGGAGGTCTGGCGTCCTCCTCTCTCCCCTCTACCCGCATGTAGCCGGGCAGGACACAAGGCTGCCCAGGCCAGGGGGTGGCAAGGATTAGCTCTGCAGGAAGTGGGGAATGGATTGAACTCTGGAGACATGCAAAAACCAACGCATACCCCTGAGTGACAAAAAAACTGGCAGGGCTTCTGTGCATTCAAAGCAATGCCATCCAGCTCCAGACTATTCCCTACTCTCTCTCAACTTTATCAGCTCTTTTCCTATGAAATGAGAGCCCAAAGCTGATCTGAGCTTGCCAGGACCACCCAGGGCCCTGCCTAGGCACTTTCCAAAACCGGGCGTGTTCTGGGTTC